ATGACTTGACTTGATGAATTTAAACATTAGCATATTGCTAAGCTAACAAAGGCATATTCTATTAAACTTCTAAAATATACAGCACACCCTAATTTTGGGTAAAACAATACTATTTATTGATTGTATTTGGTGTTAAATTAATAATAATAAACAACATTTTTGTTCAGAGTCATGTTGCAATGCAGTTCACACACTAGGGTTTACACTGTCAAAGAACAATATAAAGTCATTGATTGAAGGTGGGTAAAAGGGGGTAAAGGGTTATGCTCCATCATGCTAAATAAATAAATAAATGCTCAAGATATCCATCTATCCATCAAATGCTCAGTCGGAACTCAAGAGTGTGCTGATGCAAATTTGGGCATTTATCAGGTCTGCAGAAATGAAAAAATAAATAAATAGCCACAATAATTTCTTAAAATGCCCAATTGCTCAAAAAATGAAAGAAAGATGTGGAAGACTGCAACATAGAGCATTCCCTTTGCATGCTTACATGTTTATAACCTGTGGGTTTTATTTGTTGCCTTTTATTTTATTTGTAGACGTTTTATTTTTAAATTAACAGACATTTTACAGTATAATTAGCAGTTGCATTTTGTTTTACACGAGAACATTTGGGTCCGTTTGAAATCGCTGAATAAATTTGGCCCTTTTATGTCAGTATTTAAAAAGCTGCTCTCATCTGACTCTGACTTGGCACTGCAGTTATTACTCCATTAAACAGCAGCTTTCGTACATGCTGGCCAGCATATTAGGGTTGTCGTGAGGAGGCACCCACACTTAAATAATGCACTTATCAAATTTCGGATATCCATTTTTACAAATATGGAGTTGTGTAATCTCATTTGCTTGGGCACAGGCACAGGCTCATTTGGAGTGGAATGGAGCACCAGTCTGTATTTTCACTTCCTGGACCCCCGCCTGTCTGTCCATTTGCCGTAACGCCTGCAAAATCTGAATTTATGTTGCGGCTGGGAGACATGGTTTGATGTTTATAGTCCTCAAAGAAGCAATGGCTGTCTCTCCAGATTCAAATAAAGAGACTGATATGGACTCTATCAGATTTCTGAATACAGACGTCCACAATAAATCGAAGCTTGATTGGTTAGAATTAGGTTAGCTCACTTGAATGCTATCTGCTTAACCCACAGATGGGTTCCCTGAGAACAGCCAGGCATTGAGTCTGAGTCAAGCACTTACCGCCAGCGCGAAGACGGCGCTGGAGAGAAGCGTCCGCCAAGTATTCTCGCGTTTAAGAAAAGGTTCAAAGGAATAACCATGATGCAATGCGTGAAACGCTCAGAATACAGACTTTGTGATTTCTGACAGTGGAATTACACATGCAGATTAACCACACTGAGTGTGAACAACCAAGATGAGATGTTGCTAAAGCGACAAAGAGCCGCGGAGACACTTGAAACGTCACGGCATACGAAGCGCTAAACAACAGAGTCTTCAGTATCTGTCCAGACCACACATGAATCGTTCAGAGAACAGACTTTGAGTGTTTGCAATTTGCTCGCTCATGTCTTTCCGATGACGTTTGATGTGTCCTGTGACAATGCTCAGTGTGGACCTTCTCTCCAGGCACTCTGTATTTAAGAAGTGTCTAATTACGTGCAGTAATGACTCTCAATTTCCGACCTACCAGCACAACCTGTGTTTAGCCAACAGTCTTAAGTAGTTGGAAAATCAAGACGGGGGTACACAGTGAAATTAAAGTTCTCCTTCGCTCTGACCCTTCCTGACAAGACCTATGTTTTTCCAGAGGAGTCGTAATTACAGAGCCAATTAAGGGGTCACCTTGAGTTTATAAACTCGGCTGTGGCCTGAAAAACTTCCTGCTAAAAGAGGGGAAAAAGGGAAACAGAGAGAAAGTGAGTCATGTGGTAATCTGAATTCAGGCCTGTCTGAGCCTGCTGACTTCTTCCAAACGCCCCTCAAAGTGTTTCCAGTCTCAGAGGATGAGGTCCTGTTTTCTTCTCTGCATTCATCTTGTTGGTCATCCAGACCTGCTGGACTGAGTTTTCATTGTTTTTTATAGCCAAAAAAGTCCACTATAGAGTGCTGCACCCTGGTTTCCTTGACAAAAAACCCAATAGGATTTTCCCATTTTGGATTATTGCAGGAAATAAGCTCACATGGCCAAGAAAAGCTTATGATTCCTACACGTTTTATTCATCATGATAATCTTGGCAAATGAACACAACTTTTATGAATTTTGAAGCCCAAATACAATCACCAGAAGAAAGAATAGTATAGAATAGTTTGCAAAAGTGCAATTATAAACAGCGAGGCTATAAAAGCGGGAAAAGACATGATGATGTTTAATGTCCCCAGCAGCCTCTGTATAGTCTCATTTAGCCACTTGTTAGCAACTGCATTTTTCAAGACAAGTAAAAGCTTAAAAAATCACAAGGGGGTAATACTGATTCTATGATATATCATAGAATAATATGTGAACATATCTTGAGCTTGTGTTAACCACAGACCTTATTTCAGGCATTTAACCACAAACCCATTCAAATAGAAATACAAAAACCCATGCCAAAATGTCCATATGAAAGTCAAGTCACCATTATTTATATAGTGTTTTTTTCAATGCAAATTTTGTCAAAGCAGCTTTACAGTATTACACAGGGAAATAGTGTGCCGTTTTCCTCTGGCCAGACGAAACCAGCAGTTTAATTCTAGGTTGCAACAAAGTCAGATTGTACAGAGGACTCATCTGGTTTCTGTGGTCTTGCCCCGATGGCCGTCAGGTGATGTAGTCTTTGAGGGGATCTGTATCTGGTGCTCATCTAGTTGACATGGTCAACAAAAAATATTTCATCCCTACCATATGACTTTATTTTTTCTCACATAGTCACATCTTACATGTGCATATACAATATATACAGTTACATGTAAATAATTCATTTCAAGACTCTCTCGCCTTTTTTTGATAGCATTAGAAGGTAGTATTGTGGCTCTTTGATATATTATATAGTTCTAAATGATATTCATGTACCACAGTATTTTCATGATACTCCAATGTACATGTCCACAACACCATGGTAATACATTCAGACCTAAAATAAATGGTGAGTCTTTGCACATAACATGCTGTGACAGCGCATTCACAAATATGTTTGAGAAATGATGAGTATATGTATAGTGTGCATGTGTGTGTGTGTGTTTGAGGTCAGAGGGGGTGTGTGTAGCAGTGCTGACACTAGTGTGAAGCTGGCCCAGTTGGGTGAGAGGCGCTGTGATCTTCACACACCAATGCATCTGAGATCCATGACCTATATAGCATGTTACACGCTCTGCTTGTCTCCTGTGTTCCTCTAATAGAGCAGGGCAGTGCATCACAGGTACAACACACACAAGGGACCCGTATACTTGGATCAGAGCCATCCCTCATGACATCAGACCTGCTGAGACACTTAAGATATGATTTAATCACAACATCTGATTTTTTTTTTCATCGTGTATTTTCCCTTTTTTTTTTTTTTTTTGCATTTGTATATTTGTCTCTGTTGTAATCTCCCATGAGCCTTTGATGTTCAAAGCTCTGCCTATGTTCTGAATGAAACACTAGCATACTGTTTCCTGCATAGTGTGTAATATACATTGTCCACTGACTGCAATTTGTTAAAAAATAGTACAGTATGTGAAACAGAATGTTGTATGCAACGATAAACAATATTATGCATATATAAAATACATAAAGAAGAAAAGTCATGAACACATTTTGATCATTTTTGATAATTTCAACTTCTTTTGTGCACAATAAGACCTGAAGCATGGAAAAAGTGAGCAGAATGCATGTTGAGGTTGATAACCATTTCTGGTTTCATTCATACAGCTGTAAATGGAAGGTCAAGTTGAGCAGACTGTAGTAAAGTAGTAGGTCTTCTGAGCATTCCATGCATAAAGAAAATTTACATACCATGCAAAAATAGAACAAATAGCATGCTATTCCAAGCATAGCCCTTAACACTAGTATTAATGAGTGATATGGGCCACTAGTTTCTTTGTTTTTCCTTTCCGTCGTTTAAGGATTAGGCTGAAGCAGGTTATTGTAGGCTGGTGTGTGTTAGTGTCGTGTCAGGGTCAGAGGCTGCGTGAGTCATGCAGAAACCTGACACGCTGCATTCCTGCGTCTCTCAGGCAGAGCTCATCACCTCACAAGCACAGCTGTAAATTACAGACCATTACTGTCAACTATCTGGGTTTGCATTCATCTCAGTGAGCACTGAACTGTGGCCGCAGGTAGGGCAGGTAATTGTGTTAGGGTAAGCATTTGTGCAAGCATGCAGTTGCACTTAGATACACCCTTGATCTGAACACACACACACAAACACATGCAGCTACGTGAACACGTGGTCATAGTGTCTATTTTAATTTATTTGCGTTAGCATACCAGTAAAATTTCTTGAATTACAAAACCAAATTTTTGATAACATTAGACTGCAAAGCAGTCTAAAAAATATTTTTTAGAAGTAGTTTCATTTAAATTAATAAATAAAACAATTTTCTGCATTTTCTGGTTTCTGCATTCATTTACAGACATGGCAAAAATAATGGCACCCTTACTCTTTTTTTATTTTTTGATTCACAATGTCTTTCAGAAAACTACTGAAATTAAAACGTTTTGGAATCCACCTGTGTGTAGTTGGTGTGCAGAAAAAAATCTGAATAATTACAAAAAAATGCAGAACTAAACATTTACTTACTCTCATGGCATTAGAATAATTAGAATAATTTTCTTTCTTCAATGGAAGGCAAAAGAAGATTTTTTGAAAAATGCTCTACAGTGAAAGTTTGTGGGGTCCAGTGTTGTTTTTGGCCCAAATCATCTGTAGAGCATGTGTGCAAGTTTTCATTTGTGAGTTTTCATTAACAGTCACTCACGTAGCAAATTGTTTTAGTATTTAGTATTGCAATACTGTTTAAATACTTGAGTTGTCTCTAACAAGGTGTGTATATGTGGGGGGGTGTATGTGTCTCAATAGGTGGCAGTGTATGACTACATCTGGACGGAGGAGGAGCCTGTGGTAGGATTGGCACCACCTTCGGGCACGCCCAATACCGGATGTGAGACCAGCACCCATTTATCCATCTACACACTGCACTTGAGCGGCCTGCGCCATCATTACAGACACTTCCTGAGACAACCTGATGGAGCCATTTTAGAGGTGCATCTTCTATGCAGAATCCTAAATTAAAAAATGACTCAGAATACTTTATATGCACACAACAAAAATGGGGCTCCTCAAGTGAAGTTCACACAAAAATCCACTCACAATTGATTTCAATAGAACCTGACATTAGCATGCTGCTAAGCTAACAACACAGTACAGGGAAAAAAAACCCTGAATTTTTTATTTTGACTTTTTCATTTTGATACATTCTGGTGTTGCCTTACCTGTGAAGAATACATACATGCTGCCTTATGTTTTAGCCAAAATGATCTTTAAAGGCAGCATGTTGCTTTTTACCTTGTGAAACAGCATGCCTAATGATGCCTAAAACTGCTCCCTGGGTTTTGGAACAGAGCTAAAGAGTGTAAAGAAGGAAGTATTGTCACCTTCACCACAGGCAGTCAGTGCATTTCTCCCATGATTGTATCCCTCACACCTGGACTAGGTGCTAATTCTTTCTTCCTTTGGTTAATCTAGGAATCTATAGTGGGATATATTCGCTAACCTCCGCCCATGGCTTCACACGTTATTAAACGCAGAAGAACAGCAAGGCGCAGACTGCCGTCCAGATTGCTGTCTAATTAAATGTACCACTGATTCTGCTTGGTAACAACTGCAAGCACATGAATTAACTCCCATCCCCCCTGAGAACAACCTGGATCATCCTAACAAAATTAATATTTTAGAACTTCCGTGTCAGAAACAGCAGATTTATGCTGCGTGCACGTCGACGGCTCGCTCGCAGGCAGTGCGGTCGGTTAATGGCGTCCTGAGTTGTTTTGTGACTGATGAGAGTACCATAGAATGTGGCGCATATTTATCAGTCTGAGGGCCCTGAAGAGCCACAAACACATCAGTGATGATACTAAACAACAAATGACTTGAGAAGCTGTCAAGAACTGCTGAACTTTGTCCATGTTTGGAAGGCAAAAGTCTGTATACCAGCCATTCAAATGCAGTAAATCACACATCACAATCACAACTCATGCATATACTGTAGATGCAGGTTCCATATATGCCAGTACTTTAAATTTCCCTTTTGCAAAGATTTTGTGATTAAGACCTACCATAAATTAGCAATTGGCTCAAAATCAGCAGAATTTAGAATTATTTTCATCTTGGATTTTGTTTTTGAAGGCAGTCAATGTAATATATGAAGTGTATACAAAAAATATCTATCTATCTATCTATCTATCTATCTATCTATCTATCTATCTATCTATCATTCATTCATTCATTCATTCATTCATTCATTCATTCATTCATTCATTCATTTATTTATTTATTGTGACCCTGGAGCACAAAACCAGTCTTAAGTCGCTGGGGTATATTGGTTGCAATACCCAACAATACATTGTATGGGTCAAAATGATTGTTTTTTCTTTTATGCCAAAAAATCATTAGGGTATTAAGTAAAGATCATGTTCCATGAAGATATTTGTTAAATTTCCTACCATAAATACATCAGTTAATTTTTGATTAGTAATATGCATTGCTAAGAACTTAATTTGGACAACTTTAAAGGCGATTTTCTCAATATTTAGATTTTGTTGCACCCTCAGATTACAGATTTTCCTATAATATTGCCAAATATTGTCCTACTGTATCCTAACAAACCATACATCAATGTAAAGCTTATTTATTCAACTTTCAGCTGAAAAAAATTGAGCCTTATCACTGGTTTTGTGGACCAGGGTCACAAATGAAATTATAGTCAATAATAAACACATTATTATTAGTAGTAGTAGTATTTGAATAACATGCACCAATAAATTATGGACAAAAATAATGTGTAATAAGAAAGTAATTCTTGATTTCATGTGTACTTCAGCACTGAGTGACTATGATTATTTTAGGAGGGGGTTGTGTGTTGTGTTTGTGGCTGGCTCAGCAGAGGGAAGTGTCAGGCCATATCTGGAGTGTGTGATGGGTGTGGCGATGGGCAGGCTGACACACGAAAGACGCTGATAGCATCAGTGCCGCCCACCCCAGGGCACAGGCGACAGCCATGCCAGACTGTCCCAGACAGCACTGCAAACCTACAACACCACCCTAAATAATTCGCAATGTATATAATGAAACATCTAACAAATAAATACATTTTAATTTAATGTTCGGAAAATCCATATAGAAGTAACCAAAGGTCTAGAACACAAAGTGACCAGAAGATTTACAATTACAGCTTACACAGAGAGAAACATACACACATGCATATATGCTGGGGCACAGAAAAGCTCAAGCTGTTGGACACTGGGATATGAAAAGTATATGAGCAGGCGTTTAAATTACTTTCCCATATAATATATTATTGTTTTGGGAAATTTGTACTTTTTTACTTAAGTTAACTTAATATTTGTACTGAAATGATCTGAAGATTTGAATATTTACCCAATTTCCATCACGGCCTATAAGAAACGCTCAATATATCTAATATTTGTTTGTACATCTTGCATCTAGATGACAAGCTAAAAGTTATAAGAGATAAAAGTTCCTTCTGTGAACTTTAATGATCTTTTGAATAACCAATCAAATCCATTTCCTTGACTACAACTACAGCTATTCACCTTCATTTTAATCAGTCGACAAAACACACATCGTTGACAGTGAGTTTTCAATCAGTCTGTAAAGAACTGTGTATACTCAGCTGTCAAACAACTACTGTATAAAAATATCTGCTGCTGAATTGAAATAAACAGCTTTTTCTAGAACACCGATATGACTGGAGTCATCTTCTTATCATTTATTTAGGAGTAAAACGCTTTTACAAATTTGTATTGCACCACCAAGTTGATTAGATCGAAATATATTTCTGTGCACAAACCCATCACTACAGGGGATTTAGGTTTCACTGAAGAAAGCTTTGTCAGCATGCTACAGAAAAGAGTGCGGTTTAATCAGTTGCAATTCTGTGGCAACTTTACGACTCTCTCGTGAAGCTTCTATTAAAGTTATAGATGCTTTAAAAGCAAACATTACTTAAGCAGATGTTTACCGCTCTCTGAGTAACTACAAATTGGGGCAGGTAATAGCTCAGATTTGAATGCAGAACCAATAACTTTTTCATTTCCGATTGGGCCAACATCCGCCTCATATGTGGAAACAAGATGGCGTTGGACATAAACGTGTGTGAATTCATTAGGGCGTGTGCTAAAACGGCAGTAGGTTTATGTGCGCGAGCGCGTCTTTCCTCTCGGGCTAGCGTTTAAGTGTTCGCGGCCTAAGAAAGCAGCTCTCTGGCCAACTGTGCTGCATCATCTCTCGTTCCCATATGCCGTCTGCAGCATATGTGAAGCCTGCCGCCACTTCTGTAAAACTTCCATTAAAAATGCACAACTACAGCTCCAACAGCTTGAGTATTACCTCCACACAAATTATTAATTCTCGGCAAAACCGCTGATGAGCACCCAGCACGCATTAAACACACTCACTTACGCCAGCCTGTTTTTATCATGTGGCTTTTGAGGTTTCGGAGCATGCGGCGCTGTTTGTGTTTCTGTGTGTCCTTTGTTTGTCCTTGAAAGCAGCAAACTCTTTAAATAGACGCCGTGTGACAGTCATCTGGTATTGAAAGGTGCTAACGATTGACTGCTAGTGACTTTAGCCTAAAAACAAAGATACTAGTTTTGAGTGACACAGTGATGCTGGTTTTTATCTACTGCAGGGTTAAAGAAGTCTTGAATAGTGGAGACAAGGGCTAGTTGTGACTACTTTTATTTTCAAGTAAAACTTCTAAATTGACTACAGAAAATCAATTGAACATTTTCAAAAAAAAAAAATCACTCATTGAACATGTTATGTAACATTAATAAACATCTAAAGTTGCTTACAATTCATTTTGTATTTAAATTATTGGCTGGCATTATTAGCTCCTCAGCAAACATTTCATTCCTCAGTAAAACAATTCATGAAACAGCAAAAATGTAAAAGGTAATATACAACACACAATCATACAAAAATGTTAAAATACTATTTTGCCCAACATAAAGTGTAATTAATGAATTATATAAAATTACAAAATTTAAAATGAATGGAAACTCCCTTGAGCTGCAGTTTCATTTGTTGGATTTTTTTTCTGTCCTAATTTACTCTCATGTCATTCTAAACCCATAAGACTTTCTTTGAAATACAAATGATTTTTTTTTTCTTAATGAAATCTGAGAGTTTTCTCTTTCTGTCTCTTCACTGAAAAATGTTGACTCTTTAAAAAATTCATAAAAGAAATCCATATAAATCACGTGGTTTAATCCAAGTCTTCTGACAAGACACGATTGCTTTATATGATGAATAGTACACTAAACATGCACATATATAGAGTGCAAATCCAACATGTTAATCAGAGGCTCAAGTGTGCATGCCTGAAGTGCAAGAACCAATGAGGTTTGTTCTCACGCTTCAAGCAAGTACGGTTGAGCTTCCATTTACCATTTTTGATGTGATAAGGGTTTGGAACAACTTGGGTGTGAATAAATGATGACAGAATTTTAAATTCTGGACTATCCCTTTAAATGCCCTTGCCCTGAAGTTCAACATTTACATTTATAATGTGTATAATATAATTTATAATTTTGATATTGGAGTTTTAGTTTAGAGGTTGAATTTATCAAAAGGTCCTGATTTATGGTTACTAACTATGAATAATTACTACTACTACTGTTAGAGAAAACAACCATTTATGTAACTGAACTTTTGATTCACAAGTTGATATATGTGTGTATGACATCTTGTCACAGTCACCCCTTTATCATTAGTTCTGTGTGTTATTGAACCAAAGCCTTTTCAAATACCTCTTTTCTAACCTGCGGTGATCATTTGCTCCCAGTCAGTGCGGGCAATGAGGTAAAAATCGTGACATTTTATGTATATCTTCATTTGGATAATAGCGTATTAGATCCTCTATTAAATTATTTCTGTTCAGCTCACATTTATGAGTCAGAGCTCAGGACAGCTGACTGAAGCCACATTGACCCAGATTAGCATCTGGATATGAAATATTTAACCTTTAAAATAATCCTGCAGCTAGAATCATTGACAAATGACCTCGGTTCCTCTTCTGGTGTCTGCTTATAATCACTGTTCTGTATGTTTGATTGCCTATGTCTCATATGCCATGAGGTCAACTGAAAACAGAAAAAAATATAGTTATAATTAACTTTTTTTCTTGTTTAACTGGGCTAGATCATTCAAATCTGTGGCATGCATATTAATGTTCTTTTGCCTATTTTTCCATAGCAACCTTAATGATGAGAATTTTACAGTTATCTTGTTCTGTGTCCTAACCAGGTGTGACGTGATAAAGTGATAAACGCTCTTTCATGTTAATCGTAAGTTTTTGTTCTGACCAGCCGTGACAAGCAGCAAGACATTTTGCTATTCTCTACACTCCCACTGTGAAATTCATGGGTCAAAATTCCACATAATTTAATTTGCATCTTATTGGCCGTTTTTTTTTTTTTACATTTTTCTTTTCAGTCAGAACAAATGACTTGTATGATTTTTTATCTTTTTCCTCTGCAAACATAAATCAATGAATTGGTCAATGCAATCATTAATGATTTATTTTACTTTTTTTAATGCTATTTGTGGCCCATAATTCACACATTCAAGTTACAAATGGTCATGCCTACTCGTATACTAAAAATTAGGTGGATACACATTAATTGTGGAAAAATAATTTAAATAGTTTTGAACATCGTCTTACATTATGAAATTAATGAATTAATTTGAACATTTGTATGGTGTATTATTTACAGGTGATGCATGATTCTGACAGTAGAGAGTTTCAGAGATCAGAGGTGCATGAGGAACATGGGAGGATGAAGAATGTGATGCATCTCAGAGAGAGGAAGAGGAGAAAACCTGCCTGGCGTGAGTTGCAAATAGATGTATATTAAGATGAACTGTTAAATGATCATGATGCTACAAGCTTTTATTTGTTTGTGAAATTGTCAGTTTATGTAAATGTGTGTTACAGGATCACACAGGGTTGAGCCTCTTGGAGGAAGTGCCTGTGACTCAAGCAATGGAATAAAAGAGCCCAGCCCATAACCTTAAGTAGCCACACAATAAAAATAAAATTAAATTAAATAATAAAATAAATGCCTTTCAAAACCCAAGGATCCTTTACGATACATTTGTATATATATATATATATATATATATATATATATATATATACACCAGTGTAAAGGGCACATGTCTAAAAATCTACTAAACAGCAGATTCAAAGTAATTTCCAAAAGTCAGAGAAAGAGCTCTTGCAGCATTTATTTGCAGATGCTACTTGGTTTGATATTTTAGAGCTTTTAAGTGTGACTTATGTGTCTAAATATGTTTTGATAAAACTGTATACCTGTATACACCTATACTGTAGCAAAAACATGGTAACAGAACTCATAAAGGACTCCAGGCAAACTTGCACTACCATGGATTTGAATGAAAATTTGAATGCAGCTTTAATTACATTAATCAAACAGAACATAAAATTATATTATGACTTTCATGGTTTCCAGTTTTTGGTGTCAGATCTCCTTGGACAGAAGTAGAAACCAATACCAGAATGTCAAAGAAAAGTACAATACATAAATGCAAAGCAGTTCATCACTCAGGAAACAATGTAAAGTAACAATTCTATGAAGACATGAATGTGGGTCGTTTGGTCTTCACTGCTGCTTCAACACCATGAAAAATGACGATCCTAAAAGTCACTTATCAAGAGAGTGATAAAATATCAATATTGGGGCCACATTAAGCAGGATAATATTCTGTCTGCCTTGATTTGTATTGAGTATGTGTCTGCTGCCCGGTGCTTGACGTAATGAACTCGCCCACAAATCAGGCCTTAATGGGGCCCTACTTATATATACTGCTTAATTAAAGGTTGTGGGCTTATTAACATGTGTCAGCGGTGGCGGCCGGGCGAGATTGAATCTGTTCGTACGGTGCCAGGTTGTAAAGGTTTTATAGATAACCTATCATTATTAAACCCCATTGCTTAATATCAGATCTTAATAACCTGTCATTTTCATTGATGATGATTTTCTTTATGGGAGGCCATTATGGCCCAAAGTTGCGGCTGTTTGGGGGAAAATCTGTTTGGGACTCGGCACCTCAGTGCTTATGACTCTCGTGTGCTCATTGAACTTTCTGTCTTTTATGCGACGAGAGAGCATCAGTGAGTAGTGACCAGAGGGCTTTTAGCTCAGAACAGCCCAGCTGAGATTAGCCTTCATCTGTTTCTCTCTGTGTACAGTTCAAGAGAGCTTCTTCCCTGACCAGCATCAGAAAAACACATTCAGCCCATCATACGCATTCATATCCATCATGCATTCTTGGGTTTTATTAGAACTGATAGTAGATGGCATACGTACAATATACTGAACCACATGTGTGTGTATGTATATATATATATGTATGTGTGTATGTGTGTGTGTCTGTGTCTGTGTCTGTCTCTGTGTGTGTGTGTGTGTGTGTGTGTATATATGTCTGTCTGTGTCCATGTAGTAATAATATATATATATATATATATTACTACATGGAATTATTTGTATTTTCAAAGATGTCATACCATAAGACTGTTTAGAATAGAATTACATTTACAGATATACAAATATAATGTTCATACTAAATATACAAATGTACTCAAGGCATGTAGTTTAGTTGCTATTCAAGTGGTCATTATTTTGTATAACTATAATAATTAATCAAACTTAATATATTACATCGGTAGCCTTAATAAAAACAAAAACATGTAGTATGGATCGCATACTACATTAAGCACAACAATTATACAATTATACACAACTGTGTATAATAATAATAGTTTCCAAATCAGCATATTCTCAGTATATTCTTATAATCTGGCATCGCAGAAATGAATGAATGAATTACAATTTCATTTGTGACTGTATTTTTGATCAAAGAAATACAGACATGATGAATACATAAGAATCTTACATTCGAAAAATATTACTGACCACTTCTATTATGATGAAAAAAAAAGTTTAGTAGGTTGTATTTGTGTTTTACTGTATTGAGCACTTGAAACTGAACTTCACCCGTATTCAGCTGTTCATTGAAGATGAAGCTAGATAGAAAATATACCAGCACCTCAAATATTTGATTGCTAATGACAAATACTATTTCACATTGATTTCAAATTCAAATGGATCTCTAGCAGCAGTTATTTCTGTGAAAGATGCCAGCGGGTTCACTCTGCTGTGTATTTGCTGATTTCAGTGAAAAGAAAATTCAAACTATGGAGGAACTTCAACTTTTTGAAGTGTCTACACAGTTCTGCTGCTAGTTAGAAAGAAACATGAAAAGAAAACACTGTATAATTTCACATTTAAGTAGCCCTGCTGGTATTGAATATAGAGAGACAGTGATGGGTTCAGTGTGTATGACAGAGGCCATTCTGCAGGCTGGCTCTGCTCAATCGAATTAAACTACACAAAGGATTTAAAAAAAAAAGAGAGATTTGACTTTAGGAACTCTTTACACTTTCTCTTTAAGATATGTCAGCTTAAGAGCATTAAAACAAGTGTAATAGGATTTATAGAAGTGTGTAGACAAGCATTCTTAAGAGATACTTTTCTGATATCAAGAAAATAACACAATGTTTGTCTGGTAAGGTAGCTGTATCTTGCACACAGGGAGGTCTGCTGCACAAACAGGAAATGCTAAACTCTTGTGTCACATCACACTCTGAGCATCTGGATATATCATGTGGATTTTGCTCATTTATTTCCTGTTTTATTTATTTATTTCTGGAGTGGCAGAGGCAGATGTCCTGTTCACTGAGAAAGAAAAAATATTTGCAAGGAGAGGAAGGAAAAAAAAATGAATATGTAAATCTTGTCACAACATGGAACTTGTAGTGATGAGGAACGTTCTCTCGTATTCATTAAGCAGAGGTCAATGCCTAATGTAGGCCACTCTCTTACAACTACTTTCCTGCCATTAAAACTGAATTGCAGTGTGGAATAGTGAAGCCAGAGACCCACAACACACACACACACACACAGAGCTCAAGTAAGAGCAAATGCACCAGTGCATCAGAATAAACCTGATGGAGGTGCATCCATCCCTTGCAGGCTTTTCACAAAAAAAATAAAAAATCAGCTCAATGTTTGTCCTACTGCTGTTTTACTTGTCCCTTCAACGCTCTCTCTCTCTGGCAGCAACGTGTCTTTGTGGCACTGATCATTAGGTAAAACCGTCTTCTCTTCAAATAATCCTGTGCGTGAATGCTAAAAATGTAATGAACTTCACGCTCCATTGTATCTGACATTGCTTAATTAATGGGTGCATTTAAAGTACATAGGCTCTGGTAATTGATTTATATGCATGATTTGCACATACAGCTGTTGGTTCCTGTAGGAAAGTCATCACTCAAAGTGTGCACGCTTTACTGATGGACTAGAGGTGCTGCTAGCGCATCCTCTGCAGCACACATTTATTATCATACTTTCATTAACGCTAATACCAGCAATAAAAACAAAAGACACTACAGAGGCATAGCTCTCTTTCAAAGGAATTCACGGGATCTGTCTAAAATAAAGGGTCCGAGGGCCTCTGTTTCCGCAAAAAAAAAAAATAGTTGAGAAAAGTATAGCATATAGCATAAAAGTAAAACAGTATATACAGGGTATACATATATAACAGTACAAAAAAAAAAAAAAAACATATATATATATATACACACACACACACACACACATTTTTCTAAACTTAAAATAAAGGGTCCGAGGGCCTCTGTTTCCGCAAAAAAAAAAAATAGTTGAGAAAAGTATAGCATATAGCATAAAAGTAAAACAGTATATACAGGGTATACATATATAACAGTACAAAAAAAAAAAAAAAAACATATATATATATATACACACACACACACACACACATTTTTCTAAACTTACAGTCCAAAAGCAACATCAGTAGATACAAATTCAAAGGCAGGCAGCATCTCTTGCCTCCTTATGAGTTGTGTTCTCACTGAGGTCCTGTAGATTTATGCATTTGGCAGACACTTTTATCCAAAACTACTATTGCATTCAAGATGTACACTTTGTAAGTTCATGTATTCTTTGGGATTCAAACCCGTGACCTTGGTGTTGCTAGCACCGGGCTCTACCTGTAGAATGGCATGAATGTGTGGGAGTGGCACCAAATTAGTCATGTGAGTGCATCCATAGGTTTGTGCTTGGCTGAAAAACTCCAGTCAATGGAAAAAAGCATGCCTGTATACCTTTGTGAGCACCAAAATTATTATTATTATTTTTTTTTTTACAGGAATAAAAACCAGGCTTTTAGGGATATAAGTACAGTGTGTTTAGTGGGCTGTACTGTTGTTTAACAAAATATTGATTGTTCATCTAAAGAAACATCTTTCTAAAGATAATTCAGTAGACAAAAACTTCAAAAAACAGTCTTGAAAGTAATGAGTAGTGGAAATTACATGATCTAGAATTTATACAGCGCATGCCAGTGTAAAGACTGTAAGTCTAACCCTTACAGCCTTGTTTTCATCTGTGTTAAATTCAATATGGCGTCTAACCTGATTGATATCGCTAACATCTGCAGACGGTCTCCAGTCAGCCTGAATGGTTCAAAATGAGAATAAATGGAATAGCGTACCAGGACATGACACCTGATTAATAAATTCAAATAATTTCAAATTAATCTACATATTTAGTTAATTAAAACTTTGATGTGACTTGATTTAAATAAATATGTAAATAAAACAAATATATTATAAATATATACACATACTTTTGATGCATACATTTGGGATTGGATGTTCAAATATAGTTGGCATTTTGACATTGGAAAAAAACAACAATATTTATTCAAAATTGAATTCTAATTAAAAGAAAAGAAAAAGAAAAAAAAAATTCCAAAATTGCTTCCCAGTGCATTTGTGTTGTCTAAATAAAGCATTGTTCGGTGATGTGATGCTATAATTACTGAAGTACTGGTGAGTGTGTGTGTGTGTGTGTGTGATGGGCAGATCCTCAGCGGAGCTCCGATCAATCTTTTACCTGGGGAACGAGTGCTGCGTATTTCTATCACTATTCTATTGATTTTTCCATGTGCAGAGCCCTTATG